GTGATAAAAAAATCACGGGCAACAGCCACAAAAACAATCCACTAAGAAGATATAGAGGAATTACACAGGTATACTCTCAATTACCTAGCGAATCCACGCCCGAATTGAACCAACCCCTATGTGCCTCTTCCAATCCCGTCTTCACTTCGGAATTGTCTTGACGATGAGCCACTCCAGAATCCACCAAAGTGTCAGGCTCGAATTCTTCAGAATCCACTGAAGAATAACTCTCTCTTTGTGTAGAACAAACAAATAATCCTTTGATGTATACTCTTTAAATCATGAGTTGAATACTCAATCAAAACATCAAAGAAAACTAACAAAATATCCTCAGATATAAACCTTAATATCCAAAAAGAAGATTTGGAGCAGTAATTCTAAAACCTGACAGAAACACGTACTTATAGAAATTTAGGCCTGCGAAGCTCGCTCGAGCGAAGACTCTCTCGCTCGAGTGAGGAACTAATCTCGCGTGTTTTTCCATAAGTGGCTTCGCTCGAGCCACACAACCTTTGCTTGAGCGTACATTCATCATTCTTAGGTTTTTTGCCAGACGCAGCCTTCACTCGTGTCACGATCTAAACCCGCCCTATAGGTTTAGCATCGTAACCGGCCAATAATCATTGGATTACCGAAGGCCTTCCTGTATAATCAAAATAATCGGGGCTTACGGAAGCAATAAACAAAACAACAATAGTCCAACGAGCTATGCATCTATATGAACAAATAATTACATGCAAAAGCGTTAATTTACCCACTTACATTACATAACATAAAACACAATATCTTATACAAAAACAAATGTACGGGTCAAAAATGTATAACATAACTGAAAGCTTGCTAACGGCCTTCCAGGCCTAGCCCCAACTCGGAGGCACCCAAAACACTTGGTAGGCTTCAAACAGTGACTCAGTAAAAACCTTCCTACACTTGCCCTTCAGAACGCTCACCTATAAATATATATAAAAACAGTGAGCTAAACCCCAGTGAATAACAACTGTGTCAAGGGGTTAAGAATGAATGTCATTTCAATAATTAAAACAATCATTTACATCAGTAGATCGGTTATTCAATCAGTGGCTCATATTTCATGCCATAACAGTCATTTAGAAATCATAGCAGTCGTACGTGGAACATCCTATAACAGAACAGTACAGTAACAGTAGGTCTTAATAGACCGAACAGTCAGTTAATGGCCATCAATACAGTAAACAGTAGTAGTTCCAAACATTGGAACTAACAGAGATCTCTGTAACAGTAGCAGTAACAGTAACAGTAAGGCCTCGTTTGGGAACAGGCTAATATAGTAACTTTTTGGCTATTTGGCTAAAATATGAGTTAAAAAAAAATAGTATGTTTGGGATGACTTTTTGACTTTTTACGAAAAGATGTGCAAAAAGCAGAGAGAAAAGAAAATCTTTGACTTTTTGGTATGGATTGTTGGTTTTTTGACTTTTTTAGTAACTTTTTGATTTTTTGGCTAAACCGGCATGTTGCCAAACGAGGCCTAAGTTGATATAGATGCCCCAAATACAGTTTACAAATAGAACAACCATTCATTCAGTAAACGATGCCATTTCAGAAAGCAGTATAATCAATCGTTCAGAAATAGTTATAATTGAACGTATCTTTACAACATTGTTACTCACAGAGGGCTTCCAGAAACGGTTGGTCAGTTTTTGAGTCTTGACCTACAAACATAAATGTACATGGCACAAAACATGTCTCATTATTACTCATTCATGTGGTCATACATGGCTTAGCTTTCTTACTTTAATTTCCTATTCATTCCATGTCACATAGCTTATTCATATAGCACCACTTATTCGGATTCGACACATAATTTCTAATTCACTTACTTACGTTGTTTCTTAACTTATTAATCTTTAACGGCTCATAAATCATGCCTAAGAATGCCCATAAAGAGATGGGAGTGAAGATATGTACTTAAAACATCTTTTGAAAACATGCTGAAAATAAGTTGGTGGCTAGAGCCAGCTTTTCTTGCCTAGAGCCAGCAGAAGGCAAAAACAGAGCTCGCTCGAGCCAGAATGCCTTCGCTCGAGCCAGCTTCTGTAGAGTTCAAAATTCTGAGAGCTCGTAATGTTGGCTCGAGCCACCACTTCTTCGCTCGAGCCAACTGTAAATTTCTAGGCATCAAGCTTAACAAAAATGGCTTCCAAACAACTTCCAAAACTTGGGGTCTTGCATGATTTGATCAAACATGTAAAATAGCTTTAGAAAACTTCAATACAAGACCCTTAAAACATCTTTTATTCAAAAACTCATCAATTCTTGAAAGGTTTGAGCCCAAACTTCTTCATGCAATATTTTTCAACTCTTCCATGGTTTTTCATAACATGCAAATGGTGATTAACAAACTTATGAATTCTGAAACCATGGACATGATTAAAGCTCACATGCATGCAAGGACTTTAAAACTCGAACTCAAAATGATAAAATCAAATATGATCTACCATGAATACACATGAAAGTAATCTACATGTTCAAAGACCCATTTCTTGCACTCTCATGAAAATAGCTTAAAGCTTGATAAAATCATGATGCATGGAGGAATAACTACAGAAATTAGACATAGAATCCTTACCTAAGGCTTTAATTTCAGAAATGTGAGATGAATTTCCTAGTTTTCTTCTTCTTCTTCAAACTTGTGAGCTCTCTCTCACTAAAGCCAAACTCTCTCTCTTAAGCTTGAACTCTCAACTTAATGAAGTATAATGAGCCAAAGAAAGTTGCCTACATTCTCTCATATCTCATCAGAAACTACACAACACACACTCTCACATTTGAATACACAACACGTGCACACACATGCATTATTCCAACACACCCACAAGAGTTTTAATCCTCTACATTCAACACCACAAAATGTTTTAGCACATCATACACTTAATCACATCTTGGGTCATTAATAGGATTAGATTAGGTATCAATCATGCATCACTTAAATCAAACACAAGTAACCTTAATTAGTCAAGGTTAGCACAAAATTCAATTACTCAAAAATAGTTTCAATTTAGGCTTAATTTAATCACATGCGATTTTACTAAACTGAATCAGTTTTTAACAAAACTTCTCAGATGGCTTCCAAAAATTCTAATTAGTCAATCCATGTGCTCAATTCGGTTTCTGAAAGCATTTAGACTAACAATTTCAGATTCAAAGTAGAAATCATGACAAATAATTTTCAAATCAGATAGATATGCACAAATTACTACAAAGCACATATCACAATTAATAATAACACCTAATTCCATTCTAAACACTTAGTTAGAATTCTTAATTATGAATTAGTAGGTAATTACGGACCGGGGTTGTTACAGCTCGAGCAAGAACTCCTTCGCTCGAGCGAGCAAGGGCGGACAGGCAACTTTGAATGCAATTTTGCATTTTGCTTCAGGGATACTGCCCCTCAACCCCGCTGTAGCGCTGCCCCGGACCCGCCAAGGGGCGTTGCCCCCTGGATCCCCGCGAGCTGACCGGGCAGCTCGATCCCCGTCATAGTCAGCAAAGTAGCAATCTTGAAAGAATTAACATAACAAACTTCTATGCAAGGCACAATTCGGGTTGGATTCGCATCTAATAAACTCATAACCTCACTAAAATAAAAGTGCGAAAAAAATTACAACTCAAAGGAGTTTTGTAAAACAGGATTGTTAAGAATAAAAACCTAACAATAACTTTGGTAGCTCTAATAGCAAACTATTGGAGGTGCTCTTACATTTTATAGCTTTCTCAGTTTTGACTGCTAAAGAATTTATTTTCACTTTACACTTAAAGCTTGTAATTTATTCAATTTACTTCCACAATAAACATTCATTCAACTTTAAAAAAAGAAAAGAAAAAAAAGAGACACATTCTCTCAAGTTAACAGTTGTGTGATATAAAAATAATTAAATTACACTTTATTACTTTTAGTTTCCAATTTTTTCTATTTTAACTTTTAAAATATATATTTTTCACTTTAATATTTAAAGTTTATAATTCTTCTTAATTTACTCTCAAAAAAATAGAGAATATTTTGGTCAAAGGCACCTTATAATAAAACTTTAATACATTAAAAATACGCACACAAATTTTTTTTGAAAAGTCTAACACATATTACTATTATTAAATTTTAAAATAACATAACTTTTGATTTAGATGTCGATTTTTCATAAAATTAGTATTTTTATAATTCTCTCATTAAAATCTATCAAATAAGATTCATATTGACTATGTTTTTTTTTTTATAAATATTATTACCTTCAAAATTAATATAAATAATAATATATTATTCTATTTGACAGTAATCAAACAACATAATTAAAAATAAATTTAACAAAAATAAATATTAAAAAATATATTTCGAAAGATATTTCAATTTCAAAAAAGAGAAAATCATATAAAATTAATTTGTGTGATTATTTTTTTAGCTTTCGTCACCAAACTAATTTTTAAATTATTTTATTTTATTTTAAAACATTGAGGTATTTGGATAAATATGAAGGATGGTCATGTTACATGAGTGATAGAAGTAGAGAGAGGTAGTGGAGGTTGGGACTGAGGTGGTGCTGAAAATCATGAAACTTTAGGCACAGTACAATTTATTTGTTTTTACGGACGTGACTATTTATCCGATAGTTTCCATCCAAAATTAGATAAAAAATTAAATTTGAGAATAAATTGAAAAAAATTATAAACGTTAAGGATTAAAGTGAAATAAAAAAATAAAAAATAAACTTTAAAGGCAGAATTAAAAATAATTAAACTTAGACGGGGCAAAATGTAATTTAACTGGAAAAATAAATTTTGGTGTTAAAGACGTTGTATGAAACGGTCTAAACAAGCCTAAAAAATAAACTACTCAAATAATTGAAGACGAATTCTACAAGTCAAACTGCAAACAATCCTCAAAAATAGAAATTGGTGTTCAAGACCTTGTATCAAAATATGTTTTTATTTTTGTCTAAACAAGCCTAAAAAATGAACGGCTCAAATAATTAAAATGAGAATTGTGATGGATTCCACAAGCCAGACCGCAAACAATCATGATTCATGATTAACAAAAGAGGTTCAAAGATCAGATTCAAGATCGAGGTAACAATGGCACAAGGCTCCATCAAAATGTCCTTCATACTTCTTGTGCCAATTCTCGGACAATAAAAATATTCATAAAACCCACATTATGAAAACTCAAACGAGGTTCAACTATGAAAGCCATGTTTATCGCTAAATTACATAAAGATACAATCACATCCATTGAAGGAAGGTCTGAAAAGACGGCTCAGTGTTGCTTATTTCCAGTTGCCACTTCCCAAGCTTGTAAAATGTGGTTGACAATTTCTTCTACACCAACGCCATGCTTCACCTGCAAGTGTACAGATGCAGTTATTATTATTAACGGGAAAGTTTTGACATACTCAAGAAGAGTAAAACTAAGCGTCATTGGATTGAAGGCCTTTGACTTTGCCATGTGTGCCACGTATCTGTTCATGTATTCACGTATTCGCTCATGTATTCTTTATAGATAACAGACCAAAAATGACCCGAGTGATTCATAAAATGCCCGCTCTAAAGAAAACAAGAGTCTTGAAAAACAAAAAAAAAACAAAAATTCCAACACTTGGGTTGTGGTTTTGCACTCTGCCCTAAATGGCCGGTGGAAAAAATAAATAATAATATTAATAACAACAAACTAAAGAACAGAAGAAAACCCTAACAAACCCAATATTCTCAAATTAATTGTGTTCAACATCCAAAAATGTCTTCCATTAATAATAATCCCAATATTTATAGATCAACTAAAAAAGACAATATATTCAAAAATAACAAAAATTACATAATAATAATTCCTTAAATTAAAATGTCCTAAAAATCAGGTTCAAATAAATCAATTTTGATTCTTTCAGCCCTGTCTCACATAGGTGCTATAGATATCGGGCCTCCTCATGTCATCTCCATCGGGTAGGAGGGAGCATTGGGTTTTCAGTTCCAAGATACAGCTGTAGGGTTATGAGGGCATGTTCATTTTTTTGAATATGCGTGAAGTTGGTCATCTGATGCTTATAGAGTACATAATGATGATTCAATTTTAATTCTTTCCCAAAAGAATGTCTTTCTAGGGTAGACAAGGGAAAACCTCCACAATCTGAACATATTATAGATGGGAAAACCTCCACAATCTGAACATATTATAGATGGTAAAACTGCACTTATCATCACATAGATATGGGTGTAAGAACAATGTCGATCCTACTAACTTTTTATGTTTTCTGTTTTCTTTTCTTTCTTTTTTTTTGCCCGTTTGTTTTTCATCTTTTTGTTGTTCGTGCAACAATTTGTTGTGGCAAACGTGCTTATCTACCCAAAATTACGGAGGAGAGAAGAGAAAAGAAACAGTTGTTACCAAAACACAATGAATTACTGCACAAAAAATAATGCAACAATGAAGTTTCTCACAATCAATATTTGGGAAAAAAAAAGGATTGAATTCAACACACCTGAGCAAAAACAAATGGTCCTCCATCACGCATCCGTAGCGCATCGCGCTCCATCACAGTCAAATCAGCTCCAACTGCTTGTGCAAGGTCAGTCTTGTTTATTACCTATAATCAAACAACTCAACTCGTTTACATCAGGCTTTTTGGTAATATCTTTATCGTGTGACAAATGAGAAAATGCGATAGGTGGCAAAAGAACAACAGCAGATATGAGCACAGAAGCCCGTACAAGGAGGTCAGCTTGTGTAATTCCCGGGCCTCCTTTTCGAGGTATTTTATCACCACCAGATACATCAATTATATAAATGATATAGTCAGCCAATTCTCTGCTGAAGTTGGCAGCCAAATTATCTGCATCCAGACATTTTAAGTCAGATCTTTCTCAATATGTACAAATTTTAAAGTCTAAAAGAGGAGAGGATATGTAAAAATTTCCTCTATTTTTTTTTTTTTTTCATTTATCATTGGATTTCAAGTTATTTTATTTAAACTTCTTATGTGTTTCATATATGTAAGTGAGAGACACATGTTCCAAAGCATGTTTGGAAATGTGTTCGACTAATGTTGGTAAGTGTCCCACAACTGTCATGTCGTGTTGGTGTCTAAAACGACACGCCACCTTCTTAGAAGTGTCAGTGTTGCTTAGCTTGTGATGATGAATCAAGTCCTACCATACAGCCCACCTTTTACTTCATGCAATTGCAATGCAACCTCATTCAAATGAGTATTTCTATAATTAGTTCATATTAATAATGACTCAAGAGTGTGGAGAGAAATGAAGCATGTAGGAATACTTGCAATCATCCACCCACTTGGAATCCAGTTTCTTCACATTTATTTATTTTTAATAGGCAACAAAAGAAATATTAATAGAAAAGAAGAAAAGTACAAGAGAAACGGGAAAACAAGGAGTCCTCCAAGAAAAGAAAACCAAAAACAAAGACAACCAAATTCTCACACTACAAATCACACACTGCCCTTATATTTATAGAGATAAAAAAAAGTGGAATTCCTCTAGAGGAAGTGGAATTCCTCTAGAGGGAGTGGGGACTGAAACCCAAAAAGATGACAGGTAATGGACTTTATCCCATAAAGAGACCTGTTCAATCAAATCCTCGAAGACCCTAGCATTATGCTCCAACCAAAAACAGGGTCATGCTGTGAAAAATTCTCAAGGCATGTTATGCTATGATCATCATTTTCCCCAAAAGAATACTAGTAATGAACCAACATGGTCATTTGATCGCACATTGACTGTCTACAGATAGTATTAACTTAATTTTTTTGTACTCTGTTGACATGCAAAGTGAGAAAAATATCATTTTCCAGATTACCTCCCCCCGATTCACAGAGAAGTATATCCGCTTTATACAAGTTAGAGAGCTCCTCAAGAGGGCCAAGATTTATGCTGATGTCTTCACGAATGGCAGCGTGTGGGCAGCCCCCAGTTTCCACAGCTCGTATCCTTTCCTCTGGAAGTGCTCCATGCTTCACCAAGAATTCACCATCCTCTTTTGTGAATATATCATTTGTTACCTGAAACAGTGATATTCTTTGTAATTTATTTTCCATTACTCAGATAGAACGGGAATGTGCTTATACCAATATCGGGGACACGAAGAGTTAATTACTAATACATTTCAATATTTTGAGATTGTTAGTCACATAACAAACAATGAAACAAAGATAGTAATAAGAAGGTAAGCAGCATATGTTAAAGTGAAACAGCTAAAAAGAGGATTGCTAGAATAGAATGTGTACTTGGCCCATTAAATTAGGTTTGAGGGTTAAAAGTCCAACGCCAAGAAAATAAAAGAAAAATAACTTCAGCCAATTAGTGCTGGAAGAAGAGATCAAAGGCTTTTTAAGCACATTGAAAAATGCATCTCTGAGGAGAGTGGCACGCTGCGAGAAGTCAAACGTGCATATGGACAATATTTCACAGTTTGGGTAGATGACTAGAAACTCTTGAACACTGCATAACTATCCATTGATATTGTGAAAGACACCACAATGAATATTGATTAGTCAACATTCTTTACAGGAAAGAAGTCCTGTTGCTCCAAGCCAACTACCTACTTCTGTATTTGCAGCAAGGAGCTAAAATATTAGGTCAACTGAATTAAAACTTAAGCCCAGGAATGACTACTTGCCCATAAAAGGTTCAAGCATGACTTAGTCTGGACCTAAATATAGAGAGACACTCCATTTGTAAGTTGGGAGCAAAAACAAGCCTTGGAACTTAGTTTTTCCCAATTCACATGACATATTATTTCCCTGTTAGACCTTTGATGTTTAAGAATCCAGTTATCAAGATCTTCAGCATTGCAAGATTGGTTTTGTCGACAAGACTATTAAGTGTTAAGGATTAGGTTTTAAACATTAGCACCAACTTTGATACACCAAAAAATTAGAAGCTCTTTATAGAGTTGAAATTTGAGGATATAAAAAGGTAAGATTTTGGAATTTAAAAAATAATGAGAAATTGAATAATAATTTCTTAAATTCCAAATACCATCATTATTAATGCCTTGGAAGGATGGAATCATAGCATTCATGCAGAAAGAATCCCAGAAATATTCAGCAGATCATACGTACTGCCGCAAGACTGTACTTGTCCCGCAAGAATTGACACAAAGCCAACATTAAAGCAGTTTTCCTGTGCAGCATAAAAATAAATGTATTAGCGACAATTCAAATCAATCAAGCAATCTGTATTGCAAAATGAGATACTGCTCTGCACTACACCGATAGAAGAGAAGGGCAACTGACACAAGAGTAGTGGTGATTGTGGAATAACTAGTAGGCAATAGGAATCTCTACACTTTTCTTTTATATCCTATAGTATGACAATATGTTTAAATATTCATAAGAAATAAAAACCTAGATTCATAAACATGTAAGTAGGTCAAAATCCATTAAGAAAAGCATGTTAATTCAGAAGCTTAAAGCATGAACTGGAACAAATTGAAACCAAAGAAATTGAAAGTCAACCAAAATAACTCAGGAAAAAAAGAACAATGGAAGTTGCTGTTAACATCACCACTAAACCATATTCCATAGACTATATGCTAATACCATAGACTGGAATAGAAGTTAAAATATCATTTTACTAACATATGTTGATGAATTGAGGTAGAAAACAAGGTAAATCAGTTCATAGTAGAGAGCCAATATACCAAATAACATCAAATTCCATTTCCTGATACACAATAAGCCATATGGATGTAGCAAGGGCCATTGGTGCATTGGAAAAGAACCAAGCCGGGTCTACCAAGTTTGAACCCGGGATTCCCTTCCTCTATCCCCCTCCCCTTACCAAAATAAGCCGTATAGATACAAATATAAACCTACATACACAAACAAACAAACAAACATGCATACATATCTATTCTATTATATAAAGCACATACCTAATTTGGTGTGAAATGCTGTCACTTTTCCTTCTTCATTTTTTTTTTCAAACCCCAAAAACTGTAAAACGGCTTTCCTCCACCGTCAAACCGCCCAAAAATGTAAATGTAAATGTAAAATTGCAATTTCATGGTGTTGTACCCATTGCTAGTATATACATACATACAAGGCAGTGAAGCTATGGATAATTGGGAGAACAATTTCAATAGAAAATTTAGGGAAATAAGAGATACCCAGTACCAACAGGTGCAAATATACACCTACATATACAATCAATCAATCAAACAAACAAACATATATACATATACATACATACAGGGTAGTAAAGCTATGGATAATTGGGAGAACAATTTCAATAGAAAATTTAGGGAAATAAGAGATACCCAGTACCAACAGGTGCAAATATACACCTACATATACAATCAATCAATCAAACAAACAAACATATATACATATACATACATACAGGGTAGTAAAGCTATGGATAATTGGGAGAACAATTTCAATAGAAAATTTAGGGAAATAAGAGATACCCAGTACCAACAGGTGCAAATATACACCTACAGTGTGGTGCCAGTCCATCATGGCTGTGGTACACCTTACCATCTGGGCCCACCCATGATGTTGTTTCTGTTGAATCCCCATGAGAGTGGCTGTTCAATTCCATGAGAAAACAATATGATGAGAATGTTAAAATTGAAGTACTAAAAGTGGAGTGACTCACTCAAATGTAAACCTCAAGAAAGATTACTCGTGGGTTTGATGATGGTGATCATGATGATGATGATGATGATCGTGTTTATGATCATCATCATGATGGTCTTGCACTTGGTGACTTTGTGACGCCATTGTTTCTAAGCTTGCAAGATTTTAGCCGAGAGAGAGAGAGAGAGAGAGAATAATGGAGGAGGGCATCCGGTTTTACATGTTGCAATGTCAGTGGTAATTTCTGATTTTACCAAAAAACCCCTGATTATCAGGGGAACGGCCTATTTTAGTAAATTTTTAAAATTTTTTGATTAAAATATAAGTTAAAAAATATTAGTATGTTTAGAATGATTTTTTAGTTTTTTATGAAAAGATGTGTAAAAAATAGAGAGAATGAAATTTTTGATTTTTTAGTATAGATTATAGACTTTTTAATTTTTTTAGTAACTTTTAATTTTTAGGCTAAAACTATTATATGCCAAATGAAGCCTAAGGACCTAACTTTTTTTGAACTATCCGATATAGGCTATGTTTGGCATGCTCATTTGGGCTAAAATAATCATATAAGATAAAATTAGTTATTTTAGTCAAATAAAATAAAATATTACATTCAAACCATAATCATTTCACTTTTTCTCTCATAAAAATTAAAAAAATCAAAAATTCTATCCCAAACAAGATTTTTTAACCCTAAATTAAATAGTTAAAAAGACGAAGGCATAGGGACCTTGTTATGGGTCATCATGCCCTATTAGGAATGGGTGGCCACTTCAATTTTTTTTTTTGTTTAGGAGTTGGGTTGGTGGAGCTGGTTATGGGATTCTATTTTGATAATCTAAATTTTATTTTATACATTTTTTTGTGTATATTATACATAAAAAAAATTAAATTGATTCAACAATCAAAATCAATTCAATTTATTATGCGTGTCTAAAAAATTTAAACAACAAGTATATTTTTAAAAATAAATTATTTTTTGTGATAAATATGATAAATTGAATACTAATTTATTTTTTTGTTGGTATGGGTGATATACACAACAAATATTATAAAAATAAATTATTCATATCATCGAAACAAAAACTCGTGATGAGAAACACAGACTCAAATAGCACTCTTCAGTCCAAATCTAGATGGAAAGAAATCCTAACTTTTATTTTTTTATTTTTTATAATCGATTAAAAATTTAAATTTTGTAAATCTCATAAAAAATTCAAGTTCATTAATTTTTTTTTTATTTTTTCAAAAAACACAATAAATTTATTTGGCAAACTATTTTTAAAAATAATTTTGATTTTAATTGGTTGAAAACAAACAACCCTCTTTTTAAATTATACAACAAAATTTGAATTTTTAAAAATTGTTCATAAACAAAAATGAAAACAATAAATATGAAACAAAAATAGGCCTCAAATTTTCTCGTGGGCCCAACGTCAGTGGGGATCAAAGCGCCACCCATTTTAAATGGGTAAATTGTGTTAATTTATTTTTTTGAAACCACAAATATATAGAGTAGGACGAAAAAACAATAAACGTTTCTCAATGGGTTCAATTGACCCCTTACTATAGGGTGAAGTCACCTATGCCAGGAATATAATCATCTTCTCCCTTGTTACTAGGGTTTTGGAAAAAGATGATACTTGAATGAATAACTTATTTGATTTTTTTACTATTAAGGGTTGGTTTGGCATCATTAAAAAAATTTAAAAAGTCAAAAAGTCATTAAAAAAGTAAAAAAGTTCATACTATTTATCTCTTTTTTTCGGGCAAATCTGTCAATTGAAAAAAAAAAACAAAAAAAAAACAAAACAGTGCCGCACAAAATTGTGCAGCCACACATCCCAAGTAAATTGAAAATGAGGCACACTTGTAGCCACATATTTCTCTAAATTCCCAAACGGAGGCTAAATATGAAACAAAAATAGGCCTCAAATTTTCTCGTGGGCCCAACGTCAGTGGGGATCAAAGCCACCCATTTTAAATGGGTAAATTGTGTTAATTTATTTTTTTGAAACCACAAATATATAGAGTAGGACGAAAAAAAAATAAACGTTTCTCAATGGGTTCAATTGACCCCTTACTATAGGGTGAAGTCACCTATGCCAGGAATATAATCATCGTCTCCCTTTTTACTAGGGTTTTGGAAAAAGATGATACTTGAATGAATAACTTATTTGATTTTTTTACTATTAAGGGCTGGTTTGGCATCATTAAAAAAATTTAAAAAGTCAAAAAGTCATTAAGTCTTTGTTTGGGAACTTGATTTGGGGCTAAAATAGCCACAAAAAACAAAATAGGCTATTTTAGCCACAAAAAACAAAACATCAAATCCAACCCATAATCATTACAATCTTCTCTCACAAAAAAAGTCAAAAAAGCCAAAAAGCCAAAAAGCCCTTCCCAAATCAGGCTAAAATAGTCCAGGCTAAAATAGCCAAAAAGCCAAAAAGTCAAAAAGCCAACCCACTTCCCAAACGGAGGCTAAAAAAGTAAAAAAGTTCATACTATTTACCTCTTTTTTTTCGGGCAAATCTGTCAATTGAAAAAAAAAAAACAAAAAACAAAACAGTGCCGCACAAAATTGTGCAGCCACACATCCCAAGTCAATTGAAAACGTGGAACACTTGTAGCCACATATTTCTCTAAAAAAAAAAAAAAAAAAATTTGAAAAGAGACAAAAACAGTGCAGCGTAGTATTGCTGCTTTTGTCAGCGAGAGTAATATCGTAATTTTACAATTTTATACAATATTTTAATACACATTTTTCGTAAAATGTCAAAAAATTATCCCAAACCATCATTTTTTTTCCTCTACTTTTTAGTTCAAAAAGTCAAAAAATATACTTATTTAGTACATTCCAAACTACCCCTAAATAGATACCTTTATTGATGTGAATTTTATAAGGAATTTTTATTAATAAATTCTATTTAGAAGTGTTTTAACTTAAAAAATTTATGAAGGAATTTTTTAACCAATTTCGTTCAATGTATGTATAGTTTTATTCTATAAAGTCTTTTTTCTTAATTCACACTATTTTCTTAGACACTCATGCCCTTATATTTAATTTTGATACCCTTATAAATATTTTTTTGAACAGTTAGTAATTTTATTATATGAGCATTCATATTTTGAAATTCACATTGGTAGGAATGTAAAATTGGCTCGTAGGCCGCCCGAAACCCGCCTGCGAGCTGGGACGGGTCCGGCCCGTTGACAATGTGAATATTCACATTGACATGTTAATGTTCGCATTAATAGGAGTGTAAAATTGGCCCGTGTCCCGTGGCGGCGCGAAACCCGCCCACGGCCCATGGGCGGCCTGGCCCGGTCCGGCCCGTTGACAATGTGAATATTCACATTGACATGTTAACATTCACATTGATAAGAGTACAAAATTGGCCCGCGGCCCATGGGCGGCCAAAAGCCCGCTCGCGGCCTGAGGCAGGCCCAGTTCGGCCCGTTAACAATGTGAATATTCACATTGGCATGTTAACATTCACATTGATAGGAGTGTAATATTAGCTCGCACCTCGTGGCTGCCCGAAACCCGTCCACGGCCCGTGGGCGGGCCGGGGCGAGCCCGGCCCGGCCTGTTGACAATGTGAATATTCATATTGACATGTTAACATTCACATTCACATTGATAAGAGTATAAAATTGACCAGCGGCCCAGGGCAGGCCCGACCCGGCCCGTTGACAATGTCAATATTCACATTGACATGTTAACATTCACATTGATAAGAGTGTAAAATTGGCCCACAGCCTGTGGGCGTCCCGAAGCCCGACCGCAGCCCGAGGCGGGCTTGGCTCGACCCGTGACAATGTGAATATTCACATTGACATGTTAACATTAACATTCATAGGAGTGTAAAATTTGTCCGCTGCAAGAAACTTGCCCGTGGCTCGGGGTAGGCCCGGCTCGGCCTGTTGACAATGTGAATGTTCACATTGACATGTTAACATGCACATTGATTGGAATGTAGAATTGTCCTGCGGCCCGTGAGCTGCCCGAAGCCTGTCCACGGCCCGGGGCAGGCTCGTTTGGGTCCGGGCCCAAGCATGTCCGAGACCCTAGGTTAGGGCCTAGGCCATCACTTTGAAGCCTGGCCCTGCCCATCAGCCCGCTTAAGGTCCATTCAAGGCTTGGTCCGAGGCCCAGCCCGCGCCGATGCGCAATGTCTTTTTTTGTGGAAAATAATAAAATTTTGGTAGAAAAAATTAAAAAGAATTAAAAAAAAATGGCCAGGCCCGCCCAAGCCCGACCTAAGCTCGAGGCTAGGCCCAGGCCCACCGGCTCGACCCGAGGCTTAATCCATCGGCCCGTCCAAAGCCCGAATACCCTTGTGCCAGGGCTAGGGCCTAGGCCTAATTTTTTGGCCCGCGGGCCGGGTCGGGCCGGCCCGGATTTTTTCGGACACCCATGAGGCTCGATATGGGCCGGCCCGGGCCTCTACGCATTGATGATATGAACATTCACATTGACGATGTGAACATTCACATTATGGGTATTTTGGTAATTATGTCTCTCATAGGACTTATTGAAACATAAGAAAATAATGTGGACTAAATAGAATATAAGTAGATGAAAATGGTATTTTGGTCTTCTTACCTCAAATAGGACTTAATGGAATAGTAAAAAAGAACGTAGGCTGCTCGAAACCCGCCCGCAGCTCGAGAAAGGCTCATTTGGGCCCGGGCTCGATCCTAGTCTGAGACCCTAGGCTAGGGCTTGGGCTATCATTTTGAAGCCTGGCCCAGCCCATCGGCCCCGTTAAGACCCATTCAAGGCTCGGTTCGAGGCCCGACCTACACCGAGGCCTAGTGTCTTTTTTTGTGAAAAATAATAAAATTTTGGTAGAAAAAATTAAAAGGAATTAAAAAAAAATGGCCAGGCCCGCCCAAGCCCGACCCAAGCCTGAGGTTAGGCCCAGGCCCATTGGCCCGACCTGAGGCTCGACCCACCGGCTCAGGCCCGGACCCAAACGAGCCTGCCTCGGGCCGTGGGCAGGCTTCGGGCAGCCCACGAGCTGTGGGCCAATTCTACATTCCTATCAATGTGCATGTTAACATGTCAATGTGAATATTCACATTGTCAATGAGCCGGGCCTACCCCGGGCCGCGGGCAAGCTTCGGGCAGCGGGCAAATTTTATACTCCTATCAATGTTAATGTTAACATGTCAATGTGAATATTCATAATGTCAGGGGTCGGGCTGCGGTCGGGCTTCGGGCC